AATTAAGTTTTATTCGCTTTAATAAATACCAACAAAAAGTTAAAAGAATTTTTTAAATTATTTTTTAACACAATGGATACTCACAATAAACATTCTAATCCTAAAAGAAACCGTGACGTTTTTACAATAATGTCTAAATACGTTGTTATAACGGATTTTGTAAAATAAGGAACATCAGCCAAATAAGAAAGAGCCCATATAAAATTATCATTTTCTAATTTTTGGAGGCTAGATACAGCTGCGAAATCATTTGAAAGAATATTATCAAGTTCATTCGTGTAGTTATCTGCCACATACCTAAATACTGTTAAAAATTCTGAACTGAAATAAAATTAAATTTAATGTAATTTATTAAATTATTTTAGTTTATTGATTTAATAAGAGCGTCACCAATAAGTCACCTTGTTTTTATATCATTTTGTTTTTTTATATTTTCCAGGAGTGTCATGCATAATTTTTCTCTGAATTCTAAATTTAAGTCATCGATTACTTCAATGATTCCTAAATATGCTAGTTTCCTAATGTCGTAATCATCATTTTTCGCAGAATTTAAATACATGCTAACAAAATCTAAATAGCAAGATATAATTTCTTCATTTTCAGATTTCATAACACTATGTACATGGCAGCACTTTAAAAAAGCACAAAAACAGGATAAAAGAATTTTAAGGTCCATTGTTGAATTGATTTCTTTAACATAAAATTGTTTCAGAGAACTCAAAACTATATAGGTCGCTGATTCTGAACGTAGTGGTGAAGCTACGAGTAATTTAATAGCTGGCTGGAACATATTTTCATTTACCCTGCAAGTCAAGCTTTTTACAGCTTAACAGCAAAAAAAAAATCCAATAAAATAAAATTAAAACTTAAACTGTGGTAACAAGCAAAAAAAAAAAATGTTTACTTACTTTCGATAACATCATTTAAAAATGAAAACAGTAACGGCTCATTTTTTTTTTCTTTAGAAAGCAGCCAAACGACATCAGTCAAAGCTGAAAGTCCTACTTCTGATAATTCTGGATTCCTTACATTTAAAATGTCATTTTGAACACATTTCCAGAATTGGTTTAAGTAATTTTGTAAACTTGAAGCATTTAATTTTTGACAACATGCTTTTAAAAGCTGATAAGAATCCAATTTTGCAGTTTGAAATGTGGAATCTAATTTTTCAAATAAAAGTGGAAGACTTAACTCGCAAAATTTTTCATTACTTGTGAGACATTGAAGCAAACCTTCAGACAATTCTTCTCTGGTAACTAAACTTTTATCTTTTGCAGCCTGCATAAAAATAAAAACATAAATAAATATTATTTTACACTCAAATTACAAAAAAGTAATTTCACATAGTTTAAAAAAATTTATATTACATTTGGTGTTTACTTACTGCATTAAAATCTATAGGAAAATAACAAGAAAAAACTTCAAATAATTCATCTGTTAGATGACCTAAATCTAAATTTTGAATTAAATAAGGAAAAAAACTAAATATTTTTAATAAACATTTCGGATCTGTTTCTCCTTCTATAAATGAAATGACTCCAAATATGAAATCAGGTCCCATTTGTTTAGCTTCATCTAAATGATTTAAAACTGAGACTTCTAAAATATTATAAATGTTTAATCTATCTTCTTGTAACTGTGTTATGCAATTGACATTTTGAAATAAAGAACTTATAATTTTTATATTATCTTCTTTTAAAGTATATTTCATGTTTACCTTAAAAAAAATAATTTACAAAACAATTTAAATTTGTAATAACAATCACTTTAATTATAGAAATTATTGTAAATAATGCTGTTGTTTAATGAATATTGATGTATTATAGAAAAATTTATACAACTTAATAGTCAAAAGATGATCTACATATTATTTGGTAAGGTTGTAATTATTAGAAATATTTTCTTTTAATTTTACATGTATATAAAATTAAACTACACATACTAAAAACTTACAATTGCAAGTAACCCTTTAAAAGTAGCTGGAAGTAAATTATGATGAGATTTTAAACATTCACAATAAAAATTTGTTATATGTGTTATTTCTGAACAATTTAATTTATCTTTAGGAATCTGAGTAAGAACCCAAGATAAAAATTTAATTCCTCTTTCTCGAATATTTATGTCTTCATTGGTTAAAATTTCCTGAAGAGATTCTACAATAGTTATAAACTTGATTTTTCCATTTGTAACTTCTAAAAAAAAAAATTTTAATATTAAATTAGAAACTTAAAATAATATTTTAAAATAGCTTTTAATAAAATTGTTTACATCAATTTTTAACAACAGTAGGAGGAAAAAAATATTAAACTCTAAAATTGATAATGATTTTTAAATTCATTCGTTAAAAACTATTTACCAGTAATATATACCTATTATAAGAGCTTCATCTTTAAATTCATTTTCCGGTTTATTTATAAATATTTCATTTATATTACTTAAAAAATTCTCAAATGCCATTATTCAAATTCATGTAACAGTGTATTAATCATAATTGTAATTAACTAAATAAATTTTTTTATCTAATGCCACGTAAAAAGGTGAAATGTTTTTTTGAACAAATTTTTATAACCAAAATGTGTAAAAACAATTTATAAAAAAAGAAAAATTTTTAAATTTTTTTAGTTTTGTCAAAAAAATTATATAATTTCACTAAAAAAAAAAAAGTATTATTTTCTTACTTTAAAAAAATTTATAGATGGCAACATTGTAAAATAAGTATGGGAAGATAAAACTATCCTATAAGAACTTTTTGTAGTTTAAAATCAGTAAAAAAATTTATAACAAATTAAATATATTTGAGATGTCGTTAAGTTATTCTAATCCAGTATGGGTGGGTGTTTAGGGCTTATAAGAAACAGACCAGGAGTTACTGATAATGCCCTTACTTCTAGGTCTAATACAGGTAGTTACTTGTAGTTCTTTTTAAATTTAATTCATCACATAAAATTTTTTCAATTTCATTAAATCCTTTTAAAATTTTACATAAAATTTATATAATAAGTTTCTAAAGAAAACATTTAAGTTTTACATTTACTTTTGTTTTAGTTTGTATTACTAAATTACATTAAATTGTAAGTTTAAAAAAAAAAAAAAAATTCCCTCAAATATATATATCAGTAAAGTAATCTTTAAAAATTATTAATTACTAAATTATAAATTAATATAAATTATTAATTTTAATTTATATAAAATGATTTTTAGTGATGAAAAAGTTTTTGATTTTTAAAATTACATAAAAGTATCAAAACTTCAAAAAAAAAAAAAAAAAAAAGATTTTTGACTTAATTTATTTAAATTTGTTAAATACAAATAAAATTTATTTGTAGCTAACACGAGAAAAAATCATCCCTTGTGTCATGAAAAAATTCGATGGAAATCAGATGTGCCATTAACAGAAGGACAATTAAGAAGTAAAAGAGATGAATATTGGGATACAGCTCCAGCCTTTGAAGGTAAAAAGGAAATTTGGGATGCTCTACGAGCAGCAGCACTGGCTAGTGAGTCAAATAATTTTGAACATGCACAGGCCATACTTGATGGGGCCAATATTTCAGTACCTAATGGCTTCTTGACAGAATGTTATGATGAACTGGGAACTTGTTATCAAGTACCTGTCTATTGTTTATCTTATCCAATAAATATTGTAGAAGAGGATAGTAGAGATTTATCTGGAGAAAATATTGAGGATATTGATAATGGAGATGAGTGTACCTTAAAATTAAGACTTTCAACATCATGCACTGATGTCAAGTTACTTATAAACTCTAATAAGACGATAGGAATGGCGAAAAAAAAATTATGTCAGCAACTTAAAAACTCTGATATAAATTTGGAACCCTCTGGTCAGAGATGGTATTTTGGAGGAAGATTACTTGTTGATAAAATGAAAATCAATGAAATACATATTCAACCAGGGTATGTTATTCAAGTTATATACAATGAAGTTAATAAATCTGACACCTAATATGAGTATTTAAATCACTTATTAAAAATCAAAGATCAATGTGATTTATAACTATTGTGGATATTTAATTTTTTTAATATAATTGTTACCTCTTTGCTATTAAGCCATTAATAGTAAAATTAATTGTGATTGCCTATTTATCAGAACAACTTAATTGATAGTTGTTAATAAATTGATTTTTTTTTACTTAAATTTTAATCGTTTTCATTTCATTGTTTGATTTATTTTATTATTATTATTATTTTAAGATGAAATAATTTATTGTTTTTTTTTTTTAATGTATCAAAGTTACAGTATCTTATTGTTTGAGCAATCAAATTTAAAAAAAAAAAAACTTTTCGAAGTTTATTATGCACACATTTGTAAATGTTTGTACGATTTTAGTTTCTGTGTTTTCAATGCATTTACAGGTAATACAGCATAAAATATCTTTATAAAATTCATTAAATTAATGAAACATATACTAATCAAATTATAAATATAAGTAAATCAAAAAAATCAATTATTTTGTGTATTAAATCGCTTGAAATTAATGGATTGAAATAAATTACATATTTACCGACATTAAAAAAAAATAATAATAATAATTCACAGTATTTTAATCAAATACTAAAGCAATTTAAGGTCAATCAACAATCTAATAATTTCTAATCAAAAATTTTATGAATATTAATTCTTTATTTTTTTTCATAAAAATTGATTTTGTTTTTATTTTGTTTTATTATGCTATAGACAATCCATATAGGCTTTCATTTTTTTTTTTTTAAATCTATTTCAATTTGTTTAAATAATCATAAAAATCTTTATACTTAAATTTAATTTTGCTTCAATTAAATATATATTGTTATAATAATAATAAAAAATTTTTTTTTGTTAAATCAAAATGAATGCCGAAAAAAATTATTTAAATAAATTTAGGGTTCATTTATTATTTCTTTATCATTATTATTATATAAGTCAATATTGTTATTATCATTATTACATGATAATATATATTAACAATGTTTTTAAAAGACTGAAACTGTTTGTTGGTTGCTTAAATATTTTTTTTTTTTTTTTTTTGACATTTCAACGAATTTGTTCGTTGCTGTTTTCAAAAAGAAAATTTTATTTATTTACTATTAAATTATAATAACGATAATTTTGTATATTATTGTGATTTATTATAGAAATAAAAATAATATTAATAAACAATCAATCATGTTATTTAGAATAAGAATTCTTTTGAAAAAAATTCTTAATAGATATTGAAATGTTATTGTTTGTTTCAAAAATAAGTTTACTAAACAATTAATAATAATAATAAAATTTTTCAGTTGTTTAATTATTTCTTAATAATACATCATATATTTTTATTATGTAATGAGTTATACGTATATTATTATTATTATTAACAATTATGTATTTTATATGCATGTTTTACGATAAAATTTTTTATAAAAATTTTTATAAGTAAAATAAGAATATGCTTATTATTATTACCTAGTTCTTATATATTTTTTAATCATAAATATTTAATTTGGCATTTTATATATATATATATATATAATATTGTCAATAATAATTGTTAATTAATAATAATTGTATATAAGTAAAAAATGTAAAGAAAATTTACATAATTTTATTACTGAAATTTAATGTTTTTTAAATAATTTTTTAATTATATTTATTTTTATAAAAATAATATTTTATATTGAAGATCGTTTTGGTTTTGTTGAAAAACTTCGGCATCTGGGTTGATATCCTGGTTCTAAAAATACATGGGATTGGCATTTAGCTGGACCCAAGCAAGTACATGAGCAAACAGAAATTTGATCAACATCTGATCCCATGGCTGTTCCAATATGGCCTGCTAATAGTTTCCCATTGACATTAACCACATCATCGTCTAATGTTATTACGTGTTCAGTAGAAGCCTGAAGCTCTACATCTTCTCTTCGTACATCTTCTGCATTCCTAAATATTTCAAACAATTTATAATAATTTTTTCAAAAAAAAAAAAAAAATTTCAATTACATTACATTTAATTTACTTACATTGTCATAAATCTTAAAACTAATAAGTTTATACTGGCAGCTACAACAGCAAGACCAAATAGTATAAAGACTAAACTCAGAGCTACATAACCAGGTTTTTGAGTTAGAGCTTGATCATTCTAAAATAAATAATTAATTTTAATAAAATGACTTTCAAGTTATATGATGACTATATCCAATTTTTAATTTTTTTGAAATAAATTTTAAAAAATAACAATATACACCTGTAGTGCTACATAATCTCCAAAACCTATTGTAGTTAAAGTAACAAAACAGTAATAAAAAGAATCGAAATATGTCCAACCCTCATATCGAGAAAATACAGCAGCTCCAGTGGTTATTATTATTGATGATAAAAGACCTGTAGCCATCATTAAATTCATTTCTGTTGCCTCTGTACTGCTACACCTTAAAAT